ACAAGACAAGGATGTCCACTCTCACCACTGCTTTTCAATATAATACTGGAAGTCCTAGCCAGAGCAATAAGACAAGAGAAAGACATCCAAGGAATCCAAATAGGAAAAGAAGAAGTCAAACTATCACTATTTGCAGATGATATGATAATATACATAGAGAACCCCAAAATCTCCACAGAAAAACTAATTCAACTCATCAATCAATTCAGTAAAGTGGCAGGATACAAAATCAACACGCAAAAGTCAGTAGCCTTCCTATACACAAACAATAAATCTGAAGAAGAAGAAATCAAAAAAACCACCCCTTTTATTATCGAAACAAAAAAAATCAAATATTTGGGAATAAATCTAACAAAAGAGGTAAAGGACCTTTACAAAGAAAACTATAAAACACTGTTAAAAGAAATAGAAGAAGACACAAAGAAATGGAAAGACATCCCCCGCTCATGGATTGGAAGAATAAACATTATTAAAATGGCCATCCTACCAAAAGCAATATACAGATTCAATGCTATTCCAATCAAAATCTCAATGGCATTCTTCAAAGAAATAGAACAATTATTGATGAAATTCATATGGAATCACCAAAAACCCCGAATAGCCAAAGCTCTACTGAAAAAAAAAGAAGGAAATGGAGGCATCACACTCCCAGACTTCAAACTATACTACAAAGCCATAATCATCAAAACTGCATGGTATTGGAACAAGAACAGACATACAGACCAATGGAATCGAATAGAAAATCCAGAAATAAACCCACAGATTTATGGTCAACTAATCTTTGACAAAGGAGCAAAGACTATGCATTGGAGCAAAGAAAGTTTGTTCAATAAATGGTGCTGGGAAAACTGGGTCGCTACATGCAAAAGAATGAAGCTTGACCACTACCTCACACCATACACAAAAATCAACTCAAAATGGATTAAAGAACTAGACATAAGACCTGAAACCATAAAATACATAGAAGGAAATATAGGCGAAACACTACGGGATTTGCACATCAAAGACATCTTTACAGACACATCACCCAAAGCAGTGATAGTGAAGAGAAAGATAAACAGCTGGGACTACATCAAATTAAAGAGCTTCTGCACAGCAAAAGAGACAATAACAAAAACAAAGAGAAGCCCCACCAACTGGGAGAACATTTTTGCACCCAACACTAATGATAAAGGACTGATCACAAAAATCTGCAAAGAGCTGATGAGACTCAGCAACAACAAAGAAAATAATCCAGTCAAAAAATGGGCAGAAGAGCTAAAAAGAAACTTCTCTGAAGAGGAAATGCAAATGGCCAACAGACATATGAAAAAATGTTCAACATCACTTGTAATCAGGGAAATGCAAATCAAAACTACCATGAGATACCATCTCACACCAGTGAGAATGGCACATATTAAAAAAACTAGCAACAACAAATGTTGGCGAGGATGTGGAGAAAAAGGAACTCTTGTGCACTGTTGGTGGGAGTGCAAACTGGTCCAACCACTATGGAGAGCTGTGTGGAGATTTCTGGACCTACTAAACATAGAGCTTCCATATGATCCAGCAATTCCACTCCTAGGTATTTACCCAAAGGACACAGAAACATCAATTCCAAAGAGCACCTGCACTCCTATGTTTATAGCAGCACTGTTTACAATAGCTAAGCTTTGGAAACAACCCAAATGCCCAAAAATAGATGACTGGATCAAGAAGATGTGGTACATATATACCATGGAATATTACTCAGCATTCAAAAAAGATAAACACATGCAATTTGCAGCAACATGGATGGCGCTGGAAGGGACCATGCTCAGCGAAATAAGCCAAAAAGAAAAAGAAAAATACCGGATGGTCTCACTCATAGCAGGAATCTAGAAAACTTAAATAAGGGACCAGGAAAATGAAGATAAGAAAGTGAAAATCAAAATCAACAAAAAACTATGAACCAGAGACACTTTTTGGGGGGTGGGGGGCGGGAGGGGAAGGATTGGGGTCAGAATGGGGCGTTTGCAATTGTATGGGGGAATATAAAAATAAAATTTAATATTAAAAAAAAAAAATAACTTGATACAAATATTTGTTGTAAAACCTTTCACTCATAATTTTATTTTTCATGAATTATTGTGCTTTTATAACTGTTGCTCACCACTTAGGAGTTTGTTGCAATAAGCCAGACTTGTAGTCTTGCATGATCACAGGAAAAATGGGAAGAAAGAAATTACTTTGACAAAGTATAAATTGATGGGGAGAGTGCTGGCATTTAAACTTCTAAATGAACATTGTGTGATAGGTCATTAACCAAATCTTTTAGCTACTTATTTAACTAAAGGTATAACATAAAGGCAAACTTGAGATATTGTTAGAAAACACATGTCCTGTGTTGATTCACTCTTTTAAATGTTATGCTCTTCTTTTTAAGCAAAGGAGAATGTGTTTTAAATTTTAACTATTTATTTATATTCTTCTCCATTATTTGCTATAGTTGACACTGCATAAACTTCAAGATATAACATAGGACTTTTGGAAGAAATTGCAAGCAGTGCTGCAATAGTTCATGTGTAGAACTTGGGTTAAATACATTGGAGACCTTGTAAGCTCTAAATTGTATAAAGTCTGAGGTATTGCCATATAGTCTCTTAAAGAGTAAAGAGGATATTTGAGGAAACTCATATTGTGTGAATGGGGGTAAAAGAGTGTATGAATCATGTAGTATTTTTGTATTTGCTTTTGTTTATTACCCACCATTGCTTCAGTACCTGTTCTTACTAAGATTAGAAACTTGATTTTCTTCAATAAACATTAAGTATCATATGCCCTCGGTGAGCAGTGGGTATTTCATTTTCAAAGTCACAGAGCATGAGAGAGACAAATAGCAGTACTTGCACCATGCCATGTGTCAGCAAGCCTTTCTGGATCATTATGGTGATGTCTTTCTTTCCTAAATGATTTCAACAAATATGCTGATGAAGACAGATTTCTATTATCTGTCTTTGATGGGCCATAAGTTAAACTAGCACTATATTTTTTCCTGAAAATATGCATAGTTTTGACATGGTGTTTAATAGTTTTAAGCTTATTGGTGCCAAAATGAACACAGCTGTAAGAAATGATGACCCTCTCATCTTTGTAACAATATAATGGCTTCCTAATGTGTTTCCCTAACTCTGAGTATTAAGTTAATATTTCCTTGAATTTCTTTTTTTTTCCTCACAAAAGTCTTACCCATTTTATTTTTTTTATTTTTTAAATAAATTTATTTTTATATTCCCCATACAATTGCAATCCCTATTTTGACCCCAATCCCTCCCCTCCCCACCCCCCAATCCCCATTGAGTGTTTCTGGTTCATAGTTTTTTGTTGATTTTGATTTTGACTTTCTTATAGTTATTCATTTTCCTGGTCCCTTATTTAAGTTTTCTAGATTCCTGCTATGAGTGAGACCATCCGGTATTTTTCTTTTTCTTTCTGGCTTATTTCGCTGAGCATGGTCCCTTCCAGCGCCATCCATGTTGCTGCAAATTGCATGTGTTTATCTTTTTTGAATGCTGAGTAATATTCCATGGTGTATATGTACCACATCTTCTTGATCCAGTCATCTATTTTTGGGCATTTGGGTTGTTTCCAAAGCTTAGCTATTATAAACAGTGCTGCTATAAACATAGGGGTGCAGGTGCTCTTTGGAATTGCTGTTTCTGTGTCCTTTGGGTAAATACCTAGGAGTGGATCAGCTATAAATTCTCTCCACGATAAGCCCTTCTAAAAAGGTGGGGAAATTAAATGTGTGGAGAGAAAGCAGTGTATTTTCCTTGAATTTCTATGCTCCATCCTTTCCCTCTGCAGAAACCCATGAAGAATATAGCTTTTGACCAAATGACAGAGCATAGAAGATGAAATTAGTTGCATTAAATTAGACTATGACAAAATACCTTTCAAAATATTTATAACATTGCAATGTTCAAGCAATATTAAACAAAATAGAGTAAAGGTAGGCCAACAAAGAGTGCTCATATTTTGAAAGGAAATTTTGTGAGCTAGATCACTTGCCAATCTTGAAGGGTCTTGGTAGCATTTGGGTTCTGGCAGTGTCTAACTAGGGACCCTACTCTACAATTGCATGAGCAATCTCTTCTTGTTTAATCTTTAGGTATATAATTAATGGTTATGGAATTTTCCTGATATATTTTCATATTTCTTGAGAAACAAGTCTCCATTGCTAAAGTTTGCATTCAAAAAATAGCTAGGGAAAGAGTAAAGAACAAGATACAAATTTCTATGAAACATTTGTTTATGTCTAACTATGTATGCTTAAATAGCATGCATTTTAGAAATTAGCATAATGATAAATTATCTTCTAAAAATGGAAAACAAAATATTGAAACCTATTTCATCTATTTCATCTATCACACCTCAGAGTTCTTTGTTTTGCCTTTTTTCCCCAGAATGTCTGATATTTATTTTTTAAGTTATTTTTGAAGTGCAGTTTTGCTGGGATTATAATTCGAAAAAGACAAAACTTGTTTTTTAATTCATAGCATTTCATTGAACATGCTTCATATATTTCTATAAAGTTGTGTTGTAAAATTTAACAAATATTCCTATTTGTTATTTGTAGAAAAATCTTCATCAAAGAATATATCAAAATATACTTAAGGAAGTAATGTTTAGGTTTGAATTGTTCTCAATAGCATTAAGGATTTTTTGAGATTATTAATTTTCCCTCTTTTATTTATGTAATTCCAGGCAAATTGACATCTGATAACAAAGAAATTGACTTTGGCAACTAGGCTATCTGACAGCTAACACCCAGAGTGCAGAAAGAGACTTCATACACAAATTGTTTTCTGAATGTGTCTGTCATTTCAGGCAGCCATTTGGGCCTTAAGAGACACAATTTCGCCAAAAATGTTGCGAATTAGAAAATTGAAAGAAGATGTGCGATTCATCCAATCCATTTCTAGATTGAATAATATTTCTCATGTGTTAAAATAGAATGATTTGATTTCTTTTTCTTCTAGGAGACCTGGTGAGCCTCCATTGATAAAAGGTTGGCTTCCTTACCTTGGGAATTCCCTGGATTTAAAAAGAGATCCCATAGGTTTCTTGAAGTCTGTTCAAATGCAACATGGTGACACGTTTACTCTTTTCCTTGAGGGTAAGTAGTGCTTATATAAATACCTTACATATGTCATCATTTCTCATTTGTTCTTTAATGTTGTCATAATTTTTTCTATGCAAAATATGGAATGTTCATTATTGTTCTATTTAGAAAGGTAATGCAGAAGAAACTATGTTTTTTAGTATGGTGATCCACATTCAAAAACAGATCACAGGGGGCCTTCCTGGTGGTGCAGGGGTTAAAGACACAGCATTATCAAGCTTTTGCCAGCCACTGCAACAGGAGTTAGATCCTGGGCCAGGGAGCTAACCCACATGGCACAGCAGATCTCTCCTGTCTTGCCCACTGCTCCCCTCAATAGTGTATTTCAGTACATCTTCTGCCTGTTCTGCTGCCCACTCTGTCTCTGTGAATACTCTCACCTCCCACACTTCTGTCCTACGTCCCAGTTTTTGTATGCATAAAAATAAATAAACCTTGGGGCCTCCCTGGTGGCACAAGGGGTTAAGCACCGCACTATGAAGCAATCCGCAGCCTCTGCAGCACAAGTTTGTTCCCTGGCCAGCTAGGGAGCAACCCCCATGGTGAGGCAGACCTCTCATGTCTCACCCACTGTTTCCCTCAGAAGTGTATTTCAGTCTGTCTGCCTGTTCTGTTCCCTGCTCTGTCTCTGGTGAATCCTCTTACCCCCCACATCTCTGGCCTGTACCCCACCTCTTGTATGCTTAAATAAATAAATCTTTAAAAAATAAATAAATCTTAATAAAACACAAATTATGGAACTCTTTGGAGGGATACCTAGAGAACCCCACTCATCTGCTATCACCTTGGTTTGATTTGACTTGGTTTTAGAAATGGTTAAGAAAATAAATAAAGAGAAAAAGCTAGATTGTATTAATGAACTTTATTTACGGAAAATTAGCTTATAGGGACTTGATCAGATAGTACAATAGGATCCTAATCTTCCTCTCTTTCCCTGATGATGGTTTCTCCTATTATTAGATACTTATATCAGTGTAGTACATTTATTACAACTGATGAACCAATGTTGATACATTATTAAAAAGCTATGGTTTGCATTAGGTTTGACAAAGGCATAATGTCAAGTTTGGGTTTTGACAAATGCATGTTGTCATGTGTCCAACACTGCTGTGTCATAATAGTGATTGTACTGCCCTAAAAATCATTTGTGCTCCACATATTCATTCCTTTTCCCTTTCATTCGAACCCTTGTAACAATTCATTTAGAATGTATTTTTAATTTTGAAATGTTATGCTTCTTGCATCAATAAAATGTTTATGAAACAAGAGAACACAACATAGCAGGTTTACTATGTACCCCAACATCATAAGGCTGAGAAGAGAAGCTAAAACATGGCTTGCTCACATTCCTGTAAGGCCCATGTCTGTTGCTCAATAACAAACCTTCCCCACATGTTATGCCTTAAAGCAACAACTGGTCTTGTCTGGGTCACTTTTGTGACTTATATCATCTGAATGCTTCACTGGATGATGGTCCAAGATGGTGTCACTGTCCTTGTCCTCATAGTCTTTCATCTCAAGAAGACTGCCTTATAGGCAGCTAGCATTCCAACAGAGCAAGAGGAAAACCTGCAAGATCTCTTGAGGCCTACCTACCCAAGTTACAAAACCTCATTTCCACTACTTTCTATTAACCAGAGCAAGTCACAGCCCAGTTTAAGTTCAAGGGTAGAGATATAGACTCCTCCTGTTCCTGGGTGTAGCAGCAGAGTCACACTGCAAAGGAGCACATGTAGAGAGATACAAAAAATGTATTATGGTCTTTGCACAGAAGCGTCTACACCAGCTTATCACCTGGGCTAGTTATTCCCTTTTTTGTCTGTCCTAGAAGGCCAGTCACCACAGAGTAGATTATCCACACTCTTTTGTCATGGATTTCTGGTTGGGTACACCAGTGAGAGAGCAGGAAAGGACCATGTTCCAGTTCCAGTTCCCCATCTCTCACTGGTAACACAGTTCACTTTTCTTCCTAAGAAAATTCAATTCTTACCTTAATTTTTCTAATTTCAAAGAATGATCAAGGCAACCCATTTAGCTATCCCAGATTATACTTACTCTTGCTTTCTTTGGACTCGTGTTTAATTATTTATTCTTTTCATATACACATATCCATTTTTTTTTTTTTTGGTCTCTTTTGAGTCCTTATCCTTGTTTTATAACCAAGATTATGTTTTTATTTTCTCCTCCTAGTTACTTTTCTTTTTCTTTTTTTTAAAATATAGAAGTACTGGGGTATAGACTAGAGGTACAGGGGGTGAGAGGATTCACCACAGACAGAATGGGAAGCAGAACAGGCAGATCCACTGAAATACACTGCTGAGGGGAGCAGCAGGGGAGGTAGGAGAAGTCTGCTGTGCCATTGCCATCCCCTGGGTGACAATCGAACTCAGGCCATAGTGTAATAGTGCTGAGATTTAACCCCTAGGCCACCAGGGAAGCCCCTCATTACTTTTCATTACATTTTTTTGTTTTTTCTCTTTTGCATCCAGATATTTCAAGAGAGTAAACATGTGTTGCCTCTACTTACTTATTTCCTAGAGACCTCACTATCATAAGTCTTCTGGTTTGCTGAGCTCATAAATGGGCTCACACCATCCTCCTAGACTTTGCTATTGGGTTGAGAAGACTTATATCTCATTCCTTCTTAAAGTTGCTATTTAATCTCTTGACACTGCACCTCCTGATTCTTTCACCTACTGAGATTTCCTTACTAGGTGGTCTTTACACATGCCTCCTCTTTTGTGTAATTCCTTTTATCTTTCTCTAACTAGCCTAGAACTTTATATTCTATTCCTAAAGAGTCAGTAATGCCTTTTTTTATAAATTTTATTTTTATATTCTCCATACAATTGCAAGCCCCTTATTTTGACCCCAATCCCTCCCCTCCCCACCCCCCATAGAGTGTCTCTGGTTCGTAGTTGTTTGTTGATTTTGATTTTTTTCTTTCTTATAGTTATTCTTTTTCCTGGTCCCTTATTTAAGTTTTCTTGATTCCTGCTATGAGTGAAACTATCTGGTATTTTTCTTTTTCTTTCTGGCTTATTTCGCTGAGCATGGTCCCTTCCAGCACTATCCATGTTGCTGCAAATTGCATGTGTTTATCTTTTTTGAATGCTGAGTAATATTCCATGGTGTATATGTACCGCATCTTCTTGATCCAGTCATCTATTTTTGGGCATTTGGGTTGTTTCCAAAGCTTAGCTATTGTAAACAGCGCTGCTATAAACATAGGGGTGCGGGTGCTCTTTGGAATTGCTGTTTCTGTGTCCTTTGGGTAAATACCGGGAGTGGAATTGCTGGATCATATGGAAGCTCCATCTTTAGTAGGTCAAGAAATCTCCACACAGCTCTCCATAGTGGTTGGACCAGTTTGCACTCCCACCAAAAGTGCAGGAGAGTTCCTTTTTCTCCACAACCTCGCCAACATTTGTTGTTGCTAGTTTTTTTTAATATGTGCCATTCTCACTGGTGTAAGATGGTATCTCATGGTAGTTTTGATTTGCATTTCCCTGATGACAAGTGATGTTGAACATTTTTTCATATGCCTGTTGGCCATTTGCATTTCCTCTTCAGAGAAGTTTCTTTTTAGCTCTTCTGCCCATTTTTTGACAGGATTATTTTCTTTGTTGTTGTTGAGTCTCATCAGCTCTTTGCAGATTTTTGTGATCAGTAATGCCTTCTTACTGTAATTACTTTGCCAGGTTTCAGAAACAACCTTTTGTACATATAATGACTTCATTTCAGTGCTACCATTTTAATGTAATTGGGAGAAAAAAAAATCCAACTAGATGAAATTGTCAGCACGGTTGAGTTCTCACATGAACAGGCAGTATTCAGTTCATCACAGCACACTCCTTTGTCTGGAAGCTGGTGAACCTCTCCTAACAATAATTGTATGCACTCTGATTTCAGAAAATTGAAATGGAAAAATTCCATACATCTTAGAACTCGAAGAACTGTAGTATACAACATAGTTCTCATAAGGTTCCTGAGATCAGGTCTCCTTTCTCTCCAGATTCTTCTCTTGCTACTATTTGTCTTGTGCTTAACTACCATTTAAAGCACCGACTTGTTTGAAATTTCCTCCTCAAACAGTAAGCCCTTGGTGCCTCAGTGGTTACTCTTGTTATTCTTTCTGCCACAATGCTGTTCTTCACCTGAGTCACACTTGTATTTTTGAGTCCATGGTGATATACCACTTCTTCCCAAAACCCTTCGCTGGCCATCTCCCTTCTGTGTTGTTTTTGGGTTGTTTTTTTTTTTTTTTTCAGACTTCAATTACTCCCATGTCAGCTCTGTCATAGCATTTAACAGATTGTGAATTCATTGCAGATTCGCTTATCTATTTCCCCTCATTATTCTTTAACTCTCTATTGCCAATATTTAGTCTAGAACTCAACAATGATTGGCTCATAAATATTTGATGAGGAAACTCCCAATGCCTTAGAGCTGATGAAATATTTACTGTAATACAAATAGAAGTCATAGCTGCTACTTTTATTCTCACTGAACTTTCGACTTCATAATAAAGAACTATATTCTTTACTTTTAAAAATTCACTTTTCCTTCAGAAAATTAAGCTTTGTATTCTAATGAGTAGATACCATAAGTTATTAAAATTTTCAGTTTTCATTTTTAATATATTATGCAAAAATAACACAAGATGATTAAGCAGAAACTTGTGGCAGATATGAGTAATTTTATTCATTTAAAAAACAACTTCTGCTGACACTTAAAGTCTTAATCTTAGATACTGGGAAGCTTGAATTTCTAATGTCTAAATAATTTAGCCACAGTTATGTTTTTGAACTCAAAAGTAGACATACACAGTTGAATGTGTACTACTACTTCCTTTTCAGTCACTAGAATTTGAATAAATTCCTGTCCAGAAATTCTGTTAATAGATATGATTCTGTTGATCTGTGTGCAAAATGATTCATTTGGAAAATGTGAAATGAGGAATACTCTTCTACCCTGTCCCATAATGTAATTTCATTGAGCATACCTTCTTGCATGATGAGCAAATGATTGTCACCCCAAAAAGTCTCAAGGGACATGGATGTCATCTTAATAAAGGAATTAAAAGGTACATCTTTTCATGAGAAACCATGTAAATTCGTGACCTGTCGCAGAAAATAGTTCTCTAATTGGTTTTGTGTGGTGGTGCAGTGGAATCATTTCCCCTAGATGTCACTCCAGCGAAGCACCACTGTACATCATTGGCAACAGCTAGTCAAGTTTCCCTAATACAAGGGGAGTGTGTGATATGGCCATCCTCATAAGATGGAACTCTTCCAACTAGTATTTTCAGCTTGAAATTAAAAAAAAAATTCTATTGAAAATCCATCTTAACATGAGAATTGAAAGCTTATAATTATCAGCGATGATCTTTAAAATTCAAATTTATTTCATTTGTTAACTGAGCATTTCTGTTCCAATGACTCAAATGGTGGTTCTTGAATTCCTGTGGATGTTTTATTGTAGCAGCAAATATCTGAAATGAAAGCATCAAAATTCAGTTTTTAATGATCCTGTTGTCAAAATTTTAATATAGAAGATAGCAGAGTAAATGGCCTTTTTTTTTTAACATTTACTGACATACTTTGCACATATCTACACTTTCTTAAAGAAGTAATTGCAGAGAAAGTATAAAGGCTGTTAAGCTAGTAAAGGATCATGTGCGGATTATTCAAGAATGCTAGAGTGAATCTCTTAAGAAGGGAAAGGAATGAAATTATTAGCAAGGGGGACATTAAAAAGTTTATAACCCCATTTCAAATTGACTGCTCAAATGATAATTTTGTATAATATTTTTGCATTAGTGAGCCCCATTTTGACATTTATACCTTAGGCAAATACAAACTCTGATATTCTTTAAATCAATATTTCATATCAAGTGCTGACAGCATTCTTTTCTTTTTTGAAAATATGGCAAAGAATTGTTTCTATCTTGTGATCTTTGTGACACTTGATATTCATTTACATAAAATCACACTGGGACAAAAGTTAATTTTGCTCCAAGAATACATGATCTCCAGAATAACTTTTCATATTTCCTTTGTTAAGAAATTTAAATTCGTTTTATGAATGTATATGTGTTTTCCTAACTGTCTGATTAAAGATTACAAAGAAACTCTGGTTTTGCATCTCACATTAGCAGATGGTGGACAGATGGTTTAAATTAATATTAATTTTGGAAAACTTAGCTTAAATTGTTTATACTGAAGATTAAAAGTTGGAGAGCCAGCTAACATCTCCAGGGTTATTAGTACTTCCAAACTCACTTGAAAAGTAAAATCCAGAAAAATCAAAAAGTCTACTTTTAAAGCAATCTACTTCTTAATCAGAAAGATAGTAGATAAAACACAGCATCTTGATATTGCGGAAAATTAAAATAAGCATAAGAAGATGAAATACAGACCCTGGATTCAAATGAGTCTTGAAAAGAGTGACAGTTTCCTCTACAAATTGCTTTAAACTAATCAATAGGAATTTTTTAATAAGAATCTTGTACACAACTGCTTATTTTTATCAAAAACAATTTATTAATACTTGATTGCCAGACAGAACTAATTTCCCAAATTCAGCTTTTATTTCTTGTATTTGAGGTTTCTTGTATTTGAACTTCAACTATCTTCCCATCACTTTACCTCCTAGGTAAGAGAGCAAGACAAAGAGACAGAGATAATGTACTTGTGAAAATTGTGACAAAATCTCTAACATGCGCTCAGTCTGTATTTCAGTAGCTCCAAGGACCTGTGGATCTTGTTGTCATGGCTTAATATAGCTTTGTCTTTCCATTAAGATTTTGATGAATGTAGAAAACTGGTAGAAAAAATTTAAAATTCTCTCTAAAAATTGTGTTTTACAACCTCTTAAAGATTATCTGAATTTAATTGAATAATTTAAAATAACACTAAAAATATTTAGTCAAGTTCTTTCATTTAGTGAAAAGAGAAATATATAATCACCTGTGAAAATACATAGATCTATCTCAAATTTTATCTTTTGCAGAATAAGACAATTTACTTTTTTTCAATTATTAGTCAGGCAGATGCTGGCAATTTTATTTAATTAAGTTTTTATGATAAAGCAGGTGTCATAAAATATGTCCAAATCAGGTTGAGTCCTCTATGCTCTCCCCAGGGCAAAAACAGAAAATTCAGTTTACCTTGTACATGAAGTTTTGGGATCTAACCAAATGAGCAGTCACTTCTAGCTTTTCCTTCCCTCCTAGATTGACCCACCTTATTAAATAAATCAAGGGAAATAGAGTGAATAAAATTCAAGTCATCTGGTTTACTTTTAGAAAAAAATTATAGCACATGTATATTAAAAATTTATGTTTTAAAATTGTATAACAAAAAAATCTAATTCTAGATTACGTGCAAAACTTTATCCCATGTCTTGTACCAAATTGAAAGTAATTTCTGTGATACTGTTTGAATTACCATAAATAATAAATGAGAAGTTGTTCATGTAAGAAAGCTACAAACTCATATATGTACTTACACAAAGGAATGAAGAGGTAAAAAATTAAACGTAGAGGGCCTCCCCGGAGGCGCAGCGGTTGAACGCTGGGTTGGGAAGCTGCCTGAAGCCTCTGAGGCGCCGGTTCCATCCCCGCTGCTCCCCGGCCACCAGAGGAGGGTCCCACATGGCGCGCAGACCTCTCCTGCCGCCCGCTGCTCCCCTCAGCAGTGTACTTCGGTCCTTCTGCCTGCTCTGCTCCCGGCTCTGGCTCTGGTGAATTCTCTCGCCCTCCTGCGCTTCTGTCTATACCCAATGCTTGTGTGGATGAAGAAATAAATGGATAAATAAAAAATAAATGAATAAATAGATAAATCTTTAAAAAAAATCAAATGTAGCTATTCCTACAAAGCAGAAAGGATTTAGTAAATCCATTACTGAATACTATCTGCATAAAAAGGCTAATTAGGAGGAATCTTAAAAAGTGTTCTAGTGAGAAGAAATAAGCTCTGTATAAGGAAAAAAAAATAAGTGCACAGGGAATGACTTCTTTTCTAGGCTCTGCCATTAAAATATGACCGTGTGTGGGGCCTCCCTGGTGGTACAAGGGGCTAAGTCTCAGCACTATGAAGCTATCCGCAGCCACTACAGCACAAGTTCGATCCCTGGCCAGGGAGCTAACGCACATGGCACAGCAGACCTCTCCTGACTCTCCTGCTGCTCCCCTCAGCAGTGTACTTCAGTCAGTCTGCCTGTTCTGCTCCTATTCTGTCTCAGTGAATCCTCTTACCCCCACACCTCCGGCCTGTACCCCAGTTATTGTATGCATAAATAAATAGATCTTAAAAAAAAAGAAATATGGCTGCTTGATCTTGGTCTTTAATATCTCTTGACTTCAGTTTTCTTAAATGATAAATGTTGGTAGGAATGGGACTGGAAGAGATGGAGATAGGAACTCTCCAAGTCCCTGTCAATTTTGCAAAAGACCATGGTATGAATGTTTTTCCTCAATGTCCTTTCTTTTAAGTATCACTTGGAGGCCCAGGTCAAAAATAGACTCGTAAGTCAAACCTCCAACACACCTGAAGCAGAACAAGTAAGAATTTATATCTTCAGCCAGCGCTCTAAGCCTTTTAATCACTTCATTTTGGACAACACTGGTACATATGAAAAGACCAAATGTCACTACCTCAAGGACCAAATGTCCTTGCAGATAACTCCATGCAGACTAGAGAAGTTCTACTTTGTGCTTCCTTACATTGTGTTGACACTTCTGCTCTATTGCTGCTTATAACAATACAGTTTCTTTACATCTTTATATCTCAAGAGTAAAGAAGTCCAACCAATTGTCTGTGTTTCAACAGATGTTGAATGACTGCATGAATAAATGGAGGATTGCATGAATGGATAAGTTCTAGTTTGGAGTCCTGTTTCAGTTATGAACCATTATGTGACCTTGAATGTGTTACTAAATCTGCCTGAGCTAGGATTTTCTCATCTATAAAAATGAAAATGCTGGCATTTGTGAATTGTTGTTAATGTTGTATAAAACATTTATTTCTGAGTACCTATTTCATACCGCATCTTCATCTCGGTTGAAATATTTTATCTGGCCAAAATTAAGATGATGACAAGTATGAAAAACCTCTATTTGAAGTGTAGATGAACAATAATGGAATGACAATTCAGCAATTTGAATAGTTTGTTTTTTGTTTGCATTTTTAAGGGCGAGGTGATATGAGAAGAGTTCATTTTTTTAAAGATTTATTTATTTATACATATAAGAACTGGGGTACAGGCCAGAGGTGCTGGGGGTGAGAGGAGTCACCAAAGACAGAGTGGGGAACAGATCAGGCTGATTGACTAAAATACACTGCTGAGGGGAGCAGCGGGGGCAAGACAGGAGAGGTCTGCTGCACCATGTGGGTAGCTCCCTGGCCAGTTGGGGATCGAACTTGTGCTGCAGAGGCTATAGATAGCTTCATAGTACTGTGCTTAACCAGGGAGGTTGCACCACCAGGGAGGCCGGAGAAGAGTTTAAGTTAAGGGAATGTGAGAAGAATTAAATACCAATATAAATATTGGGGTATTTAGTTAAAATTAAAATTTGAAGAATAAACCCTGTTTTTAAAGTCATTAATGTTTCAAAATATCTAACTTCAAGTTTCTTGAATTTTGCCTCTATCTTTTACTTTAAGAGAAAATGTGTAGTGGATACTTGAAGGAAATGTTTTTTTAATTAAAATTTGCACCTTAATAGATGTGAGATATTAAGGTCTTTCTAATTTTGATTTAAATGCTTTCAAACTTCAGGCATTTGTTTTTTGTTTTGTTTTGTTTTGCTACCATGACCTCATGTTCTCATTTATTTCTTTTAGGAAAGTACATAACATTTATCTTGGACCCTTTACAGTTCTCCTTAGTGATGAAAAATCACAAAAAATTGAGCTTTCAAGAATTTAGTAATAAGTTGCTAATGAAAATGTTTTCCATCAAAAAAGTGTCAACCAATAAGGATCTGAAGAATGAAATTCATCTCTGCAATCAATATTTACAAGGAAAATATATGGACACACTCCTGGAAAAATCTCTGCAAAATGTAAAACAAGTTTTTGAACCACAACTATTAAAAATGACAAACTGGGAGACATCACATATTTACTCTTTCTGCAGTTCATTAATGCTGGAGATCACATTTTCAACCATATATGGAAAATTTACTGCTGGCGACTGGAAAAAATTTATCGCTGAGCTAAAAGATGACATTTTAAAATATGATGATAAGTTACCATATTTTGTATCGAATATACCCATTGAATGTCTAGGAAATGTCAAGTCTATGAAAAAGAAACTTACAAAACAGTTTATACTAGAAAACTTAACTAAGATACAAGGGTGGTCAGAAGTTGTTCAAATGAGGCAAAAAGTATTGGACAAATACTATAATCATGAAGACTTTGAAATAGGAGGTAAGAAACTTTTGAATGATTACTTGTCTAAAATGAAATAATTTACAATAGACCTTTGAAATAAAAAAGACAAAATGGTGACCTTGAAAAATTTTATGCTCTTTCTAATTGGCTAATGATAAAATGTTTTACTCTGAAACAATCCTCTGTGATAATTGATTTTTTTTTTTTTTTTTTTGCTGAGGTGGTAAAACAAGATACTTAATGGTGATAATGAGAAAGAATATAACTAAGCTGCATTTTACTCCTCTTATCTCATCCTCTACTTCCCCACCCCCGCACACACACACATTACATTTTAAACTATTCTCATTAAGCAGAAAATTAGACTTCAGAAGCCTATTGGTCCTCATTAGCATGCACTGATCCTTGGCTGGGTCTGTGTCCTAACATCTTTTAATTAGCACACTGCAAATCTAATCAGTGTAATAAACGCTATTAATCTTCCTTTTCACTTATTTTCTCCCAGCACATCATTTTTGCTTTCTCTGGGCCTCTGTGACAAACACTATTCCAACAATGTTCTGGGCGATGTATTATCTGCTACGGCACCCAGAAGCTATGGCAGTGCTTCATGACGAAATTGACCATTTGCTGCAGTCAACAGGTCAAAAGAAAGGGTCTGGAGTTTCCATCCACCTCACCAGAGAACAATTGGACAGCCTGGTCTACCTAGGTAATTTATTTTTATCTGTTATGAAGAAAAGAAGGTACCTTTCTACAAACTCAGTTTATCACTCAAAGCTGTTTACCAAGAGGTGGAGGACACAGCTGCCTAATTGACATAATAACACCCATTTACATCAATTATAAATTATGTAGTTTATAGCTGTAGATACTCTCATTGCATGTAAACATAAAGACCCAGGTAATTAACTATGCAAGGTATGCAAAAGGCTAAACCAAAGCTTTGCAATTATTTAAAAAAAAAAGTTTATGCCTATTAAGTCATTTGATTCTGAGCATCTGTTGGTGTGCTAATGCTTTCCAAACACTGCTGCATTATCTTGACAAGAAAGGTATTTGGGGGTTGAAAAAGAAAATATTTCAGAAAGGCAACTTGTATGCAAAATGTATTTATTCTTCCTAAAGTGGTGTCTGTATTTTCAGGTAGAGTTGGGAATGTATGAATCTCAAAAATGTAGTAAAAATGGTTTCTGCGTAAGATTATGATTTAAACCCACTGAGGGGTAGAAAAGGGAGGAAAGAAGGGAAAAAATTACAAACTACTCCCTATGCGATGTCAGTATTTAATAAAATATTCTCTAACTCATGCTTGATCACTATTTCAAATGTTTATGGTCAGTAGTGGCTAAGTTATTTTATTTCTACATAGTCTTGTACACCAGTGATATGAGTTTTTTGACAATAGTGGATTGCATTCTCCATTACTGGTTTTGATAAGACTCTCCATTACAACTATGTGAATGAACTGTAATCCCCAGAGTAAAATTCCTTATCAAGTAGTTATTCCCTTTTCCTTCTGTATTGACATTTCATCCTATGGTATTATTTATTATACAATATCCCAAGTCCCTTTGAACAAATATAGAGTTAAGTTTATGTGTGTGTGAGAGTCTGTGTGTATATACATGCATGTGTGTGTGCTCATATATTTATTTCTTAACTCCTTTGACAACATAAGGAAATATTTAACTTGGTAGAGATTATGTTGACTTCAAATTTTTGTCTTTTAAATATGTTCTAGGTTTTTGATAGGAATATCTACAGGTCTGGATGGATGTTGATCACCATTTGGCAGTAATGGCCCAAGTGCCCCAGAGACTGGGCTGTTTCCACTGCTTAGGCTAAGACCCACTGATGCAATAGTTGGAGCTTGCCTTACTCTGGCAATTGAGTAGCTTGTTCAATCAACAAGGAAAAATGTATCACCTTGTAATTTGGTGTTTTTAGCATAAATTATCAAAGTACATTCATTCAGAGAAAGAAACTAATTCTGACATTAATCAAAACACAATTTTTTTTATTTTCCTTTGCAGAATTATTGGGGGACAAATGATCAAAATTTGCACAAAATTCCAGGTAGTTACCTTCACGTGATTAGACAAAGTAGCAAGTGATAGAGCACAATTTAGAGCCATTTAAGTCCATGGCTAGAGCCCTCATAGACTTACAGTTCACTTATCATCAACATGAATAGCAATGCCAAGTGTGTGGTAGGTCCATCAGCAATCTAGAAGGTAGATCTCTGTTCATTATGACCTGGGTTACCAGCAGAGGCCAGTGTTGTTCATTATGAGAATTTAATCTAAGAAAGTAGCGTACACTTTTTCTTTCACAAGATAGGAAATTTTAGGCCAACTGAAGTAAATTTTCAGATGAATCCGATAACCTCTGCCTCTAGTCATAGCCAAATCACGAGTACCTCTGTATTATCAAGAGTTTAAATTATCTGTGCAAAGGCAAGATTTGCAGAAATAAATACAATGCACCTCATGGTATGCACATATATGCTTTCCTTCTCATCTTCTTAAGGAAAACATTCCATGTGTCTTCTAAGTACAATTTCTTTTAAAATTTATTTCACCAAGAAAAAGAATTTTGAGATTAGTACAACAAAGGGAAAGAAGCTTTTAAACAGAGATTTCAATGTTGGCAAACATCGATTATTAAAACAGGAGAGACTCCTAGACAAATGAGTGTCTTATTCCTGAACAAAAATGTTTTCACAGGCAAACCCCAGTGGGGCATAGGTTTATAGTGACAGTGAGGGCTCAATCTTGCACGTCGCATGTGTCAAATCACCTCAAAACCCACTTAATGTCAGCAAAAGTTGAAATGTGTAACAGATTAGGCTTTGAAATAGCAAGTTTGTTTCAGTAATTCAAAGCAATCATATGTCCTAAGAATTGCTGTGACCCTAAAACTGGTACTTGCTTTTCTCCAGTGCTCTTGAGAATCTTGAAAACCATCGACTCTTTTCACTTAGACAAACAAGAATTCAACTTCGTATTTTATATGCTTATGTAACTTACTGTAAAGAGCCTGTGCATCATGACCTCACTAAAATTGTATATCCATTAATGTTTAGTAAAGGATCTACAATTTAATTTAAATCCTATTTTAAAATATATTGGTAAATATCGTGAATTTCAAGTAACTGTTACATGGGGCCTAAATCTCAATAGGATGAGTTGCCTATAGAATAGAAATTTGAGAAACTCTAAGAGAAAAAGTAAGAATTTTTTACCCTTCCCAAGAGGAGAAACGTAGGGTAGAGGTAAGATTTAGAATTACAGTTTTCTAGTATAAGAAAGACAATAAAGGAGAAAAGATGATTCATAAAAAATAAGATAAAAGATAAAATCAGGGCCTCCCTTGTGGTGCAAAGGGTTCAGTCTCAGCACTATGAAGCTATGGGCAGCCACTGCAGCACCAGTTCAAACCCTGGCCAGGGAGCTAACCGACATGGCACAGCAGACCTCTCCTCTCTCTCCCGATGCTCCCCTCAGCAGTGTATTTCAGCAATCCACCTGTTCTGCTCCCCACTCTGGTGAATCCTCTCACCCATCCCCCGCACCTCTGGCCTACACCCCAGCTCTTATATGCATAAATAAATAAAAATCTTTTATTAAAAAAAGATAAAATCAAGAAGAGGAAATTCTCAAAATTGAACTTTTGACAAATGAATAGCAACTAATCTTATTGATAACTACCTCTTACTTCAAGGCTTACCTGCATAATATATGTGATTAAAATAAAAGGTATGGGTTTGATAAATGTTATCTAATTCCAGCCCATGTCTTAATCACCTAGCTCCTACTCACTTTCCAATAACATTTCAGTCATCTCCCATCTCCCCTCTTGCACACATGCACATACACACACTCACCTTTCATTCTGCTGAAGCCAAATTGAACATTTTCAGTTGCTTCCAATGTATTTTACTCCCTCTTGCCCCCAGGTGTTCACACATACTGCCCTGAACACTTTGCATTATCTTCACATCTGTGACCAGCTAGCCAAAGCCTTTCTGCTGTCCAAGTGTGAGTTTAGTCCCCCTCCTAGCCCACGGCATAGTGAACTTCCATTATAATTGCATCTATTCTACTCTATTTCAATTGCCTCTTTGCTTATCAGTGTCCATCACATTTTGAGTTTCTTTAAAGACAGGAACGGGACCTCTCTGGTGGTGCAAGGGGTTAAGCAAAGCACTTTGAAGCAATCCGCAGCCTCTGCAGCATGAGTTTGATCCCCGACCGGCCAGGGAGCTACCCACATGGCGCAGCAGACCTCTCCTGTCTTGTTCGCTGCTCCCCCCAGCAGTGGATTTCAGTCAATCTGCCTGTTCTACTCCCCACCCTGTCTCTGGTGAATCTTTTCACACCCACACCTCTGGCCTGTACCCCAGTTCTTATATGCATAAATAAATAAATCTTTTTAAAAAATAGACAGGAACGACCTATCTGTCATTATCTCTGCAATGCCGAGTATAATGCCTTAATTTATGAAATGAAAAAATATTATCTATTGTTATCACCAAGATGATGTTTTACCTAGTGCCATCCCTATGATGTTAATATTTTTTTCAACATTTTGAATTCTTTGGGAACCAAAGTGGTAGCCAACTTCACCCACAGGAGACTGCTCTTTCTGTATATCATGCATAAAAAGAGCAAACCAGTCTAATTAAGAACGTAAGGCAAAGGGACTTTAACTCTTGAACTGCTCAGGTGAATTGCAAACACCTAAGTTTGTTCAATTACATATCCCCAAAATGAGAAAAGTTGCTAATGTGATCCAGTTGTGGAATATTGGAATAAAAGGAGTTTCCAAGAAAATAGAGCTTAGGGCCTCCCCAGTGGTGCAGTGGATTGAGCACAGCACTGTGAAGCTGTCCATAGCCTCTGCAGTGCCGGTTAGATTCCTGGCCGGCCAGGGAGAAACCCACATGGCAAGGCAGACCTCTCCTGTCTCGCCCGCTGCTCCCCACAGCAGTGTTTTCAGTCATCCTGCCTGTTCTACTCCCAGCTCTGTCTCTGGTGAATTCTCTCGCCCTCCCGCACCTCTGGCCTGTACCCCAGTTCTTGTATAAATAAATAAATAAATTTTTAAAAAATAGAGCTTAGCAAAAATTTTTATTAATCTTTTAAGAGCAGAAGATCTTATGATGACTCTGGAATTTAAGTTTGCAGTGATTCCCTGGTAAAATTTTATATAAGATTTCTAAGTCCATTTTTTTGTGAGCATTTGGAGGGGAAAGAGAAACAGAAAAGAATGATCAGTTGGAAAAATAAAGATTCTTTAATAACAAATAGACACAGTCCATGTCAAATATTAATTTCAAAACAATTTCATTGACTTAATATATTGTTTCCTGTGATCTTCACCAAAATAATGTATTGACTCGGATAGCTATTATTTTGTCATTATTGTTACAGATGAGAATATTCCCAGGTCCAAAATAACTTGCCTAAGGTCATTAATGTAAAGGAGAGAGGCAGGAATTTAACTTGGGTTTCCTGGCCACCCCCAGTATGAAGGGGAGCTCAAACCTATTTGAAAACAAATTTCTTGGAGTCATTTTTCATTCTCCCAACTGAGAGGGAAGAGGAATTCTCTGCATCTTGATTCATCACTGCTAGCCATCATAAGCACATGGACAAGATCAGAAAATTTGGGGTAGATGATAAAATAGTGGTGTTTTCAACTTCA